TGCAGGGGAGCGGGTTTCAGCGCAAGTGGGTAATGACCAAGGAGGAAGGAGAGAGGGGACCTGGCCTGGTCCTCCCGGGCCTTCCACTGCCAACCAGGCTGATACGGGTTGCACTATGCTCCCCCCACTCCCCAAAGAGATGCTGAAGTCCTAAACCCCAGTAACAGAATGTGACCTTATTTGGAAGTAAGGTCATTGCAGATGTAATTATTTAAGATGACGTCATAGAGAGTAGGGTGGGCCCTTAATCCAGTACGACTGGGGTCCTTATAAGAAGAGGACACACGGGGAGAAAATGGCCATGTGGAGACAGAGGCAGAGATGGGAGTGTTGCAGCTACAAGCCAAGGAATGCCAAGGATTTCCGGGAGCCACCAGAAGCTGGAAGAGGCAAGGAGGGACCCTCCCTTTGAGCTTTCAGAGGGAGCATGGCCCTGCCGACGCCTTGATTTCTGGCCTCCAGCTGTGGTTTATATTGGCTCCACCAAGACCCTTTTTGTCCTGTGGCACACAGGTTTGGGATGGAGATGGTTGCCCATCGGTGTGAACACTCCAGAAGTAGGGGAGAAATACAAACACCGTCTTGCTGTAGGCTGCAGCGGAGTCCGAGTGGGCTGGTGGCACCGGGGGAGGCCCGGCTGCCCTCTTCTGGGTCATGCCTGTGTGGCCCGCTGGGTCTGGGGCCTGTGGGCTGTGTTGTGTGCAGTGTTGCACACTGTCCTCTGGGACACTGCAGCGTCAGGCGGGGTGTTCAAGGGCAGCGGCCAGTGAGGCAGAAGCGAGAGGGGGTCAGGGGTGCTCAGAATTGGGGGTGCAGGAGAGGCAGCTTTTGCCCCAAAGGGAGGGAGCACAACCCACTCAAGGATGGGGGCTCTTTAGACGGGTGTCCTGGAGAGCACAACCGCTGGGAGGCCCAGGCCTCCCGACAGCCTCTTTAGTGCTGTGTACATGTTGGGCCAGCCTGCATCTCCCCAAGTGCTCACACCAGGCACACGTCACCCCACCCATACCTCACACCCCACACAGACACACACAGCTCATGCCACACCACAAATAGACACCTTACATCATGCACACAACTCACACACACACCTCGAATCTCACATACACGCAACATCACAGAAACACATACCCCTCACACCATGCACATCTCAAATCAAGCCACATACACCGTCTTGTATCAGCTACAATCACACACACACGCCTCATGACACACCACAACCACACATACCCTACATCATCCCACAAACACACGTCACATCATGAACACAGGTACACCTCATATCATACCATAAACACACAATGCCTTACACGGCCCCCCCCAAACACGCATCTTAAATGACCACCCCTCCCAAACACACACCTCACGTCCCCCTAAACACCTCTCACCACATCACAGTTACAGACACAGCTCATCCCACACCACCAACATACACCCCTAACTGGCCCCCATGTCTCACGCCGTCCCCAGATGTACAAATCACCCTCCAAATAAAGCCCCTCTTTTTTTTTTTTTTTCCGGCCGTGCCATGGGCCTTGCAGGATCTTAGTTCCCCTACCAGGGCTCGAACTCACGCCCTTGGCAGTGAAAGCGAGGAGTCCTAACCACTGGACTGCCTAGGAATTCCCAGAAAGCGCCTCTTAAATGACCCCAGCCCCTCCCATCACCTCCAAATCCAGAAGGCACATACACCCCACATTACCCCTAACAGACCTCCCTGCCCGCCTGTGCACAAGTCACCCCACACAGCCACACCCCTTCCTGATACAACAGGTGTTGATACCTCGTGAAACCTCATGGTTGTTCAGAGGGGGGCCCTTGTGTGCAGCCGAGGAGATCGGGGAACGAGCAGAGGGGGCTGGAAGAAACCCCCAGAGCTGGGGGGAAAGGTGCACAGCCCTGTGAGTGCAGGGTCAGGATGTGGAGGGGAGACCAAGACAGAGGCTGGGGGACTGAGGCACGTGGAGCATCTGCATGAGAGTCCGTGGTGGCTGACAACATGCAAATCCTGGTCCCCACATGTGCGTGGGTGAGCTTGGGATCTGCACCGCAGACAAAATGGAGGTTTTCATGTGCATTACATGAGTGCTCGAAAAACCACCAGGCTAAATTGTGCAAGACTTCGACTGGCAGATGAGGGGTTCTGACTTTACTGGAAGGCGGTAGTGAGACTGATGGTGCTTGGTGGTGGGGCGCGGGGGCAAGGCTTTTGGAAGATAAACTTTACGGCAGTGTTCAGGCAAGACTGCAGAGTTTGGGGCACACCGAGGCAAGAGGTAGCCAGGAGGACCTGAACTGGCATGCGGGAGGGGCCAGCTGCAGCAACTGCTGTGTGAGCCCGGTCGGTGTCGGCACCCCAGTAAACCCATCCGCAGGGCTCAGAAGCCAGTTTGATGGAGGTGATGATGGAGCAGTTGGGGAAGATATTGGTTTGAGAGGCATCTACCCAGGACCTGGGCCGGTCCCACTTCTGGAAGCAGTGGGCTCCAGAGGCTCTGAGAAGTGGCCTGAGGACAGACACCAGGTGCTTCCCCCCACTTAACTCTGTCTCCTTTATTTTTTAGTATTATTATTATTTTTTTGGCCGCATGGCATGCGGGATCGAACCCGTGACCCCTGCTGTCCTGCAGTGGAAGTGCAGAGTCCTAATCCCTGGACAACCAGGGAATTCCCCACCTCTGTCTCCTTTAAAGTAAAGATCAAGGACTCCTCCCCTCTCCTGCTGCCCAGGCCACACTCAGCCTTATGAGCTAGGCCAGCAGGACCTCAGTTACCAGGAATTCAGCCACAACCAGGGCTGGCCACAGGGCACTTGCACATGGCCAGCTGTCGGCAGTGATTCAAACCTCTGTGCAAATGACAGACAGACAAATGAGTGTCCTGCAGCCCAGCTCTCTGGGGCTCCCTAGACCACTGATATTGGAAGGAGACCCCAATGCCCTCCAGCCCCTTTGTCAGACAACACAGGAGACTTCAGCTGCTCCACGAAGATCGAGCTGCTCTGAGCAGAGGGTTGGAAAGAGACCTGTCTCTGGAAAGGAAAGGAATTGAGGGTCCTTAGTGCTAGATGAGGGGTGGGAAGGGGGCTTGCGGAGGAGACAGACATTTTCTCAGCGAGAGCTGCAGACCTCTTTGTATATAACTGGGCAGTGTGTCTAGGCCCAGGGTCAGTCACTTGTCCTTGGTGTGGTTCCCATCATGGGCTGTTGTTCCTGCCCTCTACCACCAGTATGGGGGTTCCCCTAGGTTTGTGTCCCAGCTGAGGGGTAGACTATGTACCCGTTTTGCTCCCAGGTCATGTACTTGACACAGGAGAGCCCAGGTTCAGGCCTGAGTTGGGCCCTCAGGCCCTCACTCAGCATAAGCTGCACATGGGTTTGTCCTGAGGTGCTGAGCGGTGCCAGGCGAGCAGCCGAGGCTCTGGAAGGCCCTGGCCCAGGAGAGGGGAAGAGCCCGGCCTGCCCTGTGGACCACACACTTTCTTCCTTCTCACGGGCGAGTTGCCTCACTTTTCTTACCAGGCTGGTGGCAGAATTTGGAGGTCCCACCCCTGTGCCTCTGTGGAGCGTGAGTCAGACTCCCCACCCCACTCTCTGCCTCCTGTCCTCTGACAGGCGGAAGGACGGGGTTGGAGTAGGTGAGGAGTGTGACTGTGGGGACACCGTGTGCCCTGGGTGCTGAGGGCCAGGTCCAGGCTTGGGGGTTGCCAGGGTGGGCCACACTCTCCTGGAACTCAGCCCCGCCCACCTGGACTCGGCCCCGCCCTCCGGGGGCTCGGTCCCGCCCCTCACTCCAGGCCCTGGCGCACACCCTGGCCAGCCTCTCATTTCTGCTCCGTCGTGGGCCCTTGCCTTCTGCACTGTGACCCAGTGGGCAGGCCCAGATTCTGGGGGTCCCCTCTCTCTTCTCACCAGCGTGGCTCTGCTGTGTCCCAGCACCTCGCAGGCCTGGTGCTCTGTTTGGTCCCGGGGGCTGGCCTTTCAAATACCCATGCTGCCCAAGAAATGACATTTGCTTTTCTGCATCTCTGGAGACTAGGATTCTGGAGACCCCAAAAGAGGGTCCTGTTGCTCCTGCCACTGTCCAAGAGAGGGCTGAGACCCTTCCAAAGGCCTCCCCAGGGTTCAAGGTCTTCTGACAGCAGCCGGCAGCCGTGGTGAAAGTGGGGATGTGAGCTAGAGCGAGGGCTTCGTGGCCCACAGAAGGGCTGGGAATAGAGGAAACTTGAGGCTGTGTCCAGGGAGAGACAGAGTGCTAAAACCTGAACTTTAACCCTTGACCTGCCAGCGCCCTAGGACCCACATGACAATGCCAAGTTTGGATTGTGCTTAAACTTTTTTTTTTTGCGGTACGCGGGCCTCTCACTGTTGTGGCCTCTTCCGTTGCGGAGCACAGGCTCCAGACGCGCAGGCTCAGCGGCCACGGCTCACGGGCCCAGCCGCTCCGCGGCATGTGTGATCTTCCCGGACCGGGGCACGAACCCTTGTCCCCTGCATCGGCAGGTGGACTCTCAACCACTGCGCCACCAGCGAAGCCCTGTGCTTAAACTTTTAAGGCATCCCTTTGCCTCTCCAGGCTCTTCTTGCCCTGTGTCTGTATCAAGCTATTCCCTTGCGTACTAGTTGGAGCGGAGCCCAGGAAGAAGATGGAGGGGAAGCAGGAGGAGAGCAACACGGGAGGGCGGCCGACTTATTGCACTGGTTGCTCCGTTCCACCACCGAGGGTGGCAGCTCCTCCCAGCCCTGCCCACGCAGCCCCCTTTGTCCCTGGTTCTGGTGACGGTGCCCTCCTCACTGATTTTCAGGCTCGGGGTGGGATGGACGCCTTGAACCTGCCCAAGGGCCCTGGGCCATCCCTCCTGGTTTCCCCACCCATGGACTGCATCTTGGTAAATAGCCTTTCTATTAAACCTCCTGAATGATCCAATGTGAGCATCCACCTGTTTCCTGCCGGGACCCTGTCAGAGGCCCAGCAGGGCCCCCGAGCCCAGAGGTACTTACTGTGAATCCGATGCCCAAGGTGGCTGAGAAGGATCCCGGGATGAACTTGCCCTGGTCGAACTGAACGAGCAGAGATGTCTTCCCCACGCCGCTGTCGCCCACCAGGATGGTCTGAAAGGGAGCAGCAGAGGGGTTTGAGGGCCTGCGGTGTAGATTAGGCTGCTGAGAGGTCCTGGTGGCTGCGGGAGTGGGTTCTCTAAATACACAGATACGTGTGTGCACACACACCCACCCCCGCACACACACACATCCACAGACACAGGCCAAACTCCGGATTTCCTATTGAAGCCACTGAGGACAGCATGAAAGCACAGAGGAAACCTCGTTTCAACCCAAGTTAATTAGCATCTGAGGTGACCTTGAGAATGTGCCTCTCAGACTTCCAAACACAGGGGCATTCCTGACTGAGGCCCCCGTGGCTGCACTCTGCAATCCAATCCATCACTGATGTGTTTGTGCTGAGGCCATGCTTCCCACGGGAACTTCCTGGCCAAAGGTGGAGCGTGGCGGGAACACTGAGGCAGATCTGTTCCTGGTAGACACAAGACTCCCCTAAAAGCCGAATTAGGCTCAAGGACTCCCTCTAGGTTTTACAGAACCTTCCAGAGACTTCACAGCAGCCTGAGATGCTTCTACCCAACCTTGCTGCTCTCCCTCCTTCACCTGGGGTCAGACCTGCCCTCCCCCATGGCCTCACCGCTCTCCCTACCTCTCCTGGCTCCCACCCCATTTATCTTGTAGGTGTTTCCCCTAATAAAATCCTTGCGCATTTAATTCCCTTTTGGCATCTGCTTCTTGGAAGACCTGGATTAACACAATGGGTTTCCTGTATGGGAAAGCCTATAGAATAAAAAAAACTCAGGTTGTCTGGGTATAGATCTTGGGAAGAGTTTGCACTTGGCCTTGGAGAGGACGGCATTTCAAAGGGAAGCAGAGTCTGGGAAAGAAGGGTCTGGCTACTTTTGAACTTGTGGGGGAGAATTAGCTGGAAGTTCAGGTGTGTATTTGAAAGAAAATCATAAGCAGCAGGGAAGAAATACACCTGCACCCAGAGGCTGATACCCAGTGGGTGCTCAATGAATGAATGAATGGATAAGTGCCTTAGTTTCAAAGTGGACAGTAGCCACTTTCCAAAGGCAAGCATTCAAAGTCATTGGAAAGGCTTAGGAGATGCCAACTTTAGCTCAACTTGAAAAAACATAAAGACATAAAAAACCAAAAATGTAAAAGCATAAAGATTGACAGGGCCTCCTTAGGTCAGAGCCGTGGGCGCCAGCACTGTTTGCTCTGACCGTGGCGTTGACTCGATAGCAGGGCAAACATGGGGTTATCCATGATGCTGCCTTTGGACCTCCTCTGACTACCGTCCCCCACCCACACTTCGCGAACCGAATTCCATTCAGCTTTTATCTTCCTCCCGGGTTAAAAGGCTCCATTTGTTTGTTGTGTGTAGCGGCTTTAATAATTCACGTCTCAAATCTAACTTCCTCAAGCTGGAGGAAGGGCTTCCTAGAGAGAATATTCCAGAATGTGAGGGTCAGTCTGTCCGTCCGTGCCCACCTCATTCATTTACTAAAGGATGTATCCTTTTCCTTTCCGGGGTGAAGACTTCTCATCACTTTCTTCTCTCATATGAAAACAGTTCCATCTTCTTAGGACGTCTTCTGATTCAGTGAGCTCACACTCCGGGGTGACGGGCTTCAGCATTTCAGATCCAGGTGAATCCTGCCCGGAGGCAGGGCCAGGACGATGCTCTCGTATAGGCCTTTTTAGAAACATCAGCCCCGTGAAGATGATCACATCAGGAAATCAATTGATGACGCTACAGACTTTTTTCCTGGGCCACCATGGAGAGCTCAGAGTGGATCAGTTTACAAATTGAATGATTTCCCCCTAAATCCAGGACCACCCTTAGCCCTGGTCATCCTCTGCCTGTGACCCTCCTCATGAAATGAGTGGTCCAAAGACCCGTGTCCCTCCTATAGACTATACTTTACTCCCAGCTCACTGCTAGCATTGCCTGAGGAGTGGCCAAGGGGTGGCTCTTCGCAGGGATGTGAACAGAGCTTGGATGTGAAGGCTGGGGTGTCTACATGCATCCTCCTGAGGACCTTTGGGGTGTGGAATGTGCAGGAGGGAGAAGGGCAGGGGAGTGTCTGTGGATGGCGGGCTAAGGACCGGGAGATGGCTGTCACTAGGCTGCCACGTTTCGGTGCAGAACTTCTGAGAATCCTACATTCAAATCCAGCTTCTGGGTCAGTAGGCCGGTATTTTTGTCAAGGTAGGAAGATCAGATGCACTTGATTGGATAGTTTTTTTAGCTTGATTTAGAACATGAAAATATTGAGACATAAGGTTGATGGGCCACCATTTGTATTCTAGCCCTGATCTCCCAAATGTTACAGGTGGGTCTGCCTAATCTATTACCTTAGAGACACAATGGAGTTTCTCTCTCCACTCAAAAGCTGCCAGGATTTTCCTCAAGTTTCTCCAGGGGGGCTCCAAATGTTACTGCTTGGAGAAGCCAGATGTTAACCTCAGATCTAGATTTTCTACTCCACCTTCCCTCTTTTGGAGCATTTATGAAACTGTTAATTAATTGTGGTTGTGACAGAAATCTGTGTCAGCTTCGCCACCATTCAGACAAGTGTCTTTGTTCTCCCTTCTTTTTTTTTTTTTTAATTTTATGGAAGTATAGTTGATTTACAATGTTGTGTTAATTTCTGCTGTAGAGCAAAGTGACTCAGTTATATATATATATTCTTTTTCATATTCTTTTCCATTATTGTTTATCATAGGACTTATTTTTGAATTTTATTTTATTTATTTTGTTATACAGCAGGTTCTTATTAGCTATCCATTTTACACATATGAGTGTATACATGTCAATCCCAATCACCCAATTCATCCCACCACCCCCACCCCCACCGCCACTCTCCCCCCTTGGTGTCCGTACGTTTGTTCTCTACATCTGTGTCTCTATTTCTGCCCTGCAAACCGGTTCATCTGTACCATTTTTCTAGGTTCCACACATATGCGTTAATATACGATATTTGTTTTTCTCTTTCTGACTTACTTCACTTTGTATGACAGTCTCTAGATCCATCCATGTCTCTACGAAAGGACTTTTCGTTCCTTTTTATGGCTGAGTGATATTCCATTGCATATATGTACCACATCTTCTTTATCCATTTGTCTGTCAATGGGCATTTGTTTCCATGACCTGGCTGTTGTAAATAGTGCTGCAATGAACATTGGGGTGCATGCGTCTTTTTGAATTAAGGTTTTGTCTGGGTATATGCCCAGTAGTGGGATTGCTGGGTCATAAGGTAATCCTATTTTTAGTTTTTTAAGGAACCTCCATACTGTTCTCCATAGTGGCTGTATCAATTTACATTCCCACCAACAGTGCAAGAGGGTTCCCTTTTCTCCACACCCTCTCCAGCATTTGTTGTTTGTAGATTTTCTGATGATGCCCATTCTAACTGGTGTGAGGTGATACCTCATTGTAGTTTTGACTTACATTTCTCTAATAATTAGTGATGTCGAGCAGCTTTTCATGTGCTTCTTGGCCATCTGTATGTCTTCTTAAGAGAAATGTCTATTTAGATCTTCTGCCCATTTTTTGATTGGGTCGTTTGTTTTTTTAATATTGAGCTGAATGAGCTGTTTATATATTTTGGAGATTAATCCTTTGTCCGTTGATTCGTTTGCAAATATTTTCTCCCATTCTGAGGGCTGTCTTTTCATCTTGTTTGTAGTTTCCTTTGCTTTGCAAAAGCTTTTAAGTTTCATTAGGTCCCATTTGTTTATTTTTGTTTTTATCTCCATTACTCAAGAAAGTGGATCAAAAAAGATCTTGCTGTGATTTATGTCAAACAGTGTTCTTCCTATGTTTTCCTCTAAGAGTTTTATATTGTCCGGTCTTACATTTAGGTCTCTAATCCATTTTGAGTTTATTTTTGTGTATGGTGTTAGGGAGGGTTCTAATTTCATTCTTTTACATGTAGCTGTCCAGTCTTCCCAGCACCACTTATTGAAGAGACTGTCTTTTCTCCATTGTGTATCCTTGCCTCCTTTGTCATAGATTAGTGGAACATAGGTGTGTGGGTTTATCTCTGGACTTTCTATCCTGTTCCATTGATCTATATTTCTGTTTTTGTGCCAGTACCATATTGTCTTTCTATTTCTTCCTGGTTCAGTCTCGGAAGGTTGTGCTTTTCTAAGAATTTATCCATTTCTTCCAGGTTGTCCATTTTATTGGCATAGAGTTGCTTGTAGTAGTCTCTTATGATACTTTGTATTTCTGCGGTGTCTGTTGTAACTTCTCCTTTTTCATTTCTAATTTTATTGATTTGAGTCCTCTCCCTTTTTTTCTTGATAAGTCTGGTTAAAGGTTTATCAATTTTGTTTATCTTCTCAAAGAAGCAGCTTTTAGTTTTATTGATCTTTGCTATTGTTTTCTTTGTTGTTATTTCATTTATTTCTGCTCTGATCTTTATGATTTCTTTCCTTCTACTAACTTCGGGTTTTGTTTTTTCTTCTTTCTCTAGTTCCTTTAGGTGTAAGGTTAGATTGTTTATTTGAGATTTTTCTTGTTTCTTGAGGTAGGCTTGTATAGCTATAAACTTCCCTCTTAGAACTGCTTTTGCTGCATCCCATAGATTTTGGATCGTCATGTTTTCATTGTCATTTGTCTCTAGCTATTTTTTGATTTCCTCTTTGATTTCTTCAGTGATCTCTTGGTTATTTAGTAATGTATTGTTTAACCTCCATGTGTTTGTGTTTGTGTTTTTTACGCTTTGTTCCCTGTAATTAATTTCTAATCTCATAGCGTTGTGGTCAGAAAAGATTCTTGATATGACTTCAGTTTTCTTAAATTTACTGAGGCTTGATTTGTGACCCAAGATGTGATCTATCCTGGAGAATGTTCCATGTGCACTTGAGAAGAAAGTGTAATCTGCTGTTTTTGGATGGAATGTCCTATAAATATCAGTTAAATCTATCTGTCCTATTGTGTCATTTAAAGCTTGTGTTTCCTTATTAATTTTCTGTCTGGATGATCTGTCCATTGGTGTAAGTGAGGTGTTAAAGTCCCCACTATTATTGTGTTACTGTCGATTTCCTCTTTTATAGCTGTTAGCAGTTGCCTTATGTATTGAGGTGCTCCTATGTTGGGTGCATATGTATTTATAATTGTTATATCTTCTTCTTGGATTGATCCCTTGATCATTATGTAGTGTCCTTCTTTATCTCTTGTAACATTCTTTATTTTAAAGTCTATTTTATCTGATATGAGTATTGCTACTCCAGCTTTCTTTTGATTTCCATTTGCATGGAATATCATTTTCCGTCCCCTCACTTTCAGTCTGTATGTGCCCCTAGGTCTGAAGTGGTCTCTTGTAGACGGCGTATATATGGGTCTTGTTTTTGTATCCATTCAGCGAGCCTGTGTCTTTTGGTTGGAGCCTTTAATCCATTCACGTTTAAGGTAATTATCGATATGTATGTTCCTATTACCATTTTCTTAATTGTTATGGGTTTGTTTTTGTAGGTCCTTTTCTTCCCTTGTGTTTCCCACTTAGAGAAATTCCTTTAGCATTTGTTGTAGAGCTGGTTTGGTGGTGCTGAATTCTCTTACGTTTTGCTTGTCTGTAAAGCCTTTGATTTCTCCGTCAAATCTGAATGAGATCTTTGCCGGGTAGAGTAATCTTGGTCGTAGGTTCTTCCTTTTCATCACTTTAAGTATATCATGCCACTCCCTTCTGGCTTGTAGAGTTTCTGCTGAGAAATCAGCTGTTAACCTTATGGGAGTTCCCTTGTATTTTATTTGTCATTTTTCCCTTGTTGCTTTCAATAACTTTTCTTTGTCTTTAATTTTTGTCAATTTGATTATTATGTGTCTCGGCGTGTTTCTCCTTGGGTTTCTCCTACCTGGGACTCTCTGCGCTTCCTGGATTTGGGTGGCTATTTCCTTTCCCACGTTAGGGAAGTTTTCGAGTATAATCTCTTCAAATATTTTCTTGGGTCTTTTTCTCTCTCTTCTTCTGGGACCCCTATAATATGAATGTTGTTAATGTTGTCCCAGAGGTCTCTAAGGCTGTCTTCATTTCTTTTTTCTTTATTCTGTTCTGCAGCAGTTAATTCCACCATTCTGTCTTCCCAGTCACTTATCTGTTCTTCTGCCTCAGTTATTCTGCTATTGATTCCTTCTAGTGTACTTTTCATTTCAGTTATTGTTCATCTCTGTTTGTTCTTTAATTCTTCTAGGTGTTTGTTCTTTAATTCTCCTAGGTCTTTATTAAACATTTCTTGCATCTTCTCGATCTTTGTCTCCATTCTTTTTCTGAGGTCCTGGATCATCTTCACTTTCATTATTCTAAATTCTTTTTCTGGAAGGTTGCCTATCTCCACTTCACTTAGTTGTTTTTCTGGGGTTTTATCTTGTTCCTTCAACTGGTACAAAGTCTTCTGCTTTTTCATTTTGTCTATCTTTCTGTGAATGTGGTTTTCCTTCCACAGGCTACAGAACTGTAGTTCTTCTTGCTTCTGCTATCTGCCCTTTGGTGGATGAGGTTATCTAAGAGGCTTGTGCAAGCTTCCTGATGGGAGGGACTGGTGGTGGTAGAGCTGGCTGTTGCTCTGGTGGGCAGAGCTCAGTAAAACTTTAATCCGCTCGTCTGCTGATGGGTGGGCTGGGTTCCCTCCCTGTTGGTTGTCTGGCCTGAGGTGACCCAGCACTGGAGCTTACCCGGCTCTTTGGTGGGGTTAATGGCGGACTCTGGGAGGGCTCACACCAAGGAGCACTTCCCAGAACTTCTGCCAGTGTCCTTGTCCCCACATGAGCCACAGCCACCCCCTGCTTCTGCAGGAGACCCTCCAACACTAGCAGGTAGGTATGGTTCAATCTCCTATGGGGTCACTGCTCCTTCCCCTGGGTCCCGATGTGCACACTACTTTGTGTGTGCCCTCCAAGAGTGGAGTCTCTGTTTTCCCCAGTCCTGTCAAAGTCCTGCAATCAAATCCTGCTAGCCTTCAAAGTCTGATTCTCTAGGAATACCTCCTCCCATTGCCGGACCCCCAGGTTGGGAAGCCTGACGTGAGGCTCAGAACCTTCACTCCAGTGGGTGGACTTCTGTGGTATAAGTGTTCTCCAGTTTGTGAGTCACCCACCCAGCAGTTATGGGATTTGATTTTATTGTGATTGCGCCCCTCCTGCTGTCTCAGTGCAGCTTCTCCTTTGTCTTTGGATGTGGGTATCTTTTGTGGTGAGTTCTAGTGTCTTCCTGTCAATGATTGTTCAGCAGTTAGTTGTGATTCCTGTGCTCTCGAAGAGGGAGTGAGCACACGTCCTTCTACTCTGCCATCTTGAACCCTGTTCTCTCTTCTTAAGTCATTTTGTTTATGTCTGTATTTGTGCCTCATCCACATCCAAAAGGGATTTGAGGTGATTTACAACAAAACCCACTATAAAAGAGGGCAGTTAATGATGCTGCCCGAGGAATTTCTGCCCCAGAGTGAGGCTGGGTTTTTCCTGCATTTGAGAATTACATTTGATTCTGGGTTTCTTGGCAGTCAAGACAAAATGGGAAACCAGAAGGGGTGTGTGGTACTTGAGTCCTGTCAATCAATGAGTATTTTCTCTTGGCATGAGCTGCTGAGAGGAATCTCTTATGTAGATTCTTATACAAGAGGTCCTGAATGACAAAATGGGCATTTGTAGGGCTTCCTTGGTGGCACAGTGGTTGAGAATCCGCCTGCCAATGCAGGGGACACGGATTCGATCCCTGGCCCAGGAAGATCCCACATGCCGCGGAGCAGCTAAGCCTGTGTGCCACAACTACTGAGTCACAAAGCACTGAGCTGATCTCCCTGTGCTATGCGGCTGCTTCCCACTAGCTATCTATTCTACATTTGGTAGTGTATATATGTCCCCCTCTGTCTTTTGATTTTGTTGCTGGTATCTTCTGTAGACCGGAGTATTTTTTTCTATACAATCAGATCTATTGATCTTTTTCTTTATGGCATCTAAATTTTCTGTCTTATTTAAAAGGTCGCTGGGGTGGGATAGGGAGGGTGGGAGGGAGACGCAAGAGGGAGGAGATATGGGGATATATGTATATGTATAGCTGATTCACTTGGTTATAAAGCAGAAACTAACACACCAATGTTAAAAAAGAAAAAGAAAAAAAAAAAAGGTCGCTCAGAGCCACTGTAAGAGCCATGGTAGCCACCGCATTCATCTTGCTTTCTAAATGTTCCCCTGAATCACGAAGTCACAGGAAAGCAATGTATTTAGACAGCATTAGCCCAGCTCCCGTTGAGAGGCCTCTATGGAAATGTGATTTAATGTTAGTCCCTGGCTTTTAGCAAGGGTCGATACAAAAACTATAGGAAAAGCTTTGCATCTTCTGCAAAATTACAAATGCCCATTTTAAAAAATTAATTAATTTATTTTTGACTATGTTGGGTCTTCATTGCTACGTGAGAGCTTTCTCTAGTTGCGGCAAGCTGGGGCTACTCTTCGTTGCAGTGCGTGGGCTTCTCATTGCGGTGGCTTCTCTTGTTGCGAAGCGTGGGCTCTAGGCACACGGTCTTCAGTAGTTGTGGCTCGAGGGCTCAGTAGTTGTGGCTCGCAGGCTCTAGAGCTGATTCACTTTGTTATAAAGCAGAAACTAACACACCATTGTAAAGCAATTATAGCCCAATAAAGATGTTAAAAAAAGATGTTAAAAAAAATGCAGTTACAAACAGAAAAAAAAAAAAAGACAGAGGGAAAATATTGGCAAGACGTATGACAGACAAAGGGTTAAAACACCAAGTAATATAAAGAGCTCTCAAAAGAAAGTCTCAATAGAAAAATGAACAAAGGTTATGAATAGATATATTTTATGTGTGTGTATATATGGTTAGTTTTATGTGTCAACGTGGCCAGGCTATAATCCCAGTTATTCAATTAAACACTAATCTAGAGATTGCTGTGAAGGCATATTTTCGATGTGATTAACATCTACAATGAGTTGACTTGTAAGTCTTCAATAATCTGCATTTGCCTTATCCAGTTAATTGAAAGACCTTAAGAGCAAAGCTGAGATTTCCCTGAGAAAGAAAAAATTATGCCTCAAGATTGTAGTATTGGCTCCTGCCTGAGGATTTCCAATCTGCTGGCCATCCCTACAGATTTTGGACTTGCCAACTCCCACGGTTGTGTAAGCCAACTCCTTGAATGAAATCTCTCTTTATAGATATATTTCCTACTGGTTCTGTTTTTCTGGTGAACCCTGACGGATACAAAATAATATACAAAGGTTCGATAAAACTTTGATAATGGTCAATACTGGCTGAGACTTGGGGAAGCAGGTACTCACACATACATCATTGGTGGGAGTCTACATTGGGGCATTTTGGAGAGCAGTTGACAATAGCAGAGTTACAAAAGCAAATTCCTTTGATTCAGCAATTCTATGGCTTTGCTTGCAAAAGTACACCAGGATATGTGTACAAGGCTGCTCATTGTAGCATTTGTAGGAGCAAATAATTAAGCAGTTGGTATAGGTGAAATAAACTCTAGAATGTACATGCAATGCAATATTGGGAATGATAAAAGAATGAGGAAGATCTATATGTGCTGTTTGGGGAAAATTATATTATTAAGCCAAAGAAGAAGGGGCGGGGCTTCCCTGGTGGCGCAGTGGTTGAGAGTCTGCCTGCCGATGCAGGGGACACGGGTTCGTGCCCCGGTCCAGGAGGATCCCACATGCCGCGGAGCGGCTGGGCCCGTGAGCCATGGCCGCTGGGCCTGCACGTGCAGAGCCTGTGCTCCGCGACGGGAGAGGCCCCGGCAGTGAGAGGCCCGCGTACTGCAAAAAAAAAGAAGAAGGGGCAGAGAGGTCTGCTTGTATGATGACCTATGTGTACCTCACTTAGGTGTATATGCTGGTTTTGCATAAGCTTTTTTAAAAAATTAATTAATTAATTAATTAATTAATTTTGCCCACGCCTCACACAGCATGCGGGATCTTAGTTCCCTGACCAAGGATCGAACCCATGCCCCCTGTAGTGGAAACATGGAGTCTTAACCACTGGACCACCAGGGAAGTCCCACACATTACTTTTGTAATCTGAAAAAGTCTGTGTCTGTGTTGGGGAAGCATGGTGAGCTAGGACAACTCTGGTAAAAGCCAAGAAGAATGCCAATGTTTAGCCTAACTTTTGCTTAAAAATACTTGATTTTATTTTTGCAAACAAATCTAGCACACTAAAATGGATCAGGCTCTTTGGGCAAAGGGAACCTGAATAGCAGCTATCCCGTTTCATCAATTTCAGCAGGCGTTGCACACCTTGGATACCCGAGGAACAGGCAGCAGAGATGACAGACACTCTGTTCTGAAAATCAAAGAACCCTTCCATCTTCTGATCCTAGTAGGGGGTAAACTCACTCTCTGGAGACCTACGTTTTTCTCAAAAAGAAGTTTTGCCTCTGCCTGAATTCCTGGACAAGAGCTTGGTTGAGACTCAGTTTCTCATTCCATAGACTGCAGACTAGAGGGGCATTAGACCTGGAAAATGTTCAACGCCGGTGTTATCAGTCAGTTGCTTTGTTAAATCAGTTTCCAGTTCATGATAACACATTCTTTCACTTTTGGAGAAGGTTTTTTTGTCTTTACTCAGACAAAACTATAATTCAAAAAGATCCATGCACCCCTATGTTCATAGCAGCACTATTTACAATAGCCAAGACATGGTAACAACATAAGTGTCCATTGACACATGAATGGATAAAGAAGATGTGGTACATATACAGAATGGAATATTACTCAACCATTAAAAAGAATGAAATAATGCCATTTGAAGCAACATGGATGGACTTAGAGATTATCACGCTAAGCGAAGTGAGTCAGAAAAAGAAAAATACCGGGCTTCCCTGGTGGCACAGTGGTTGAGAGTCCGCCTGCCGATGCAGGGGACACGCGTTCGTGCCCCGGTCCGGGAAGATCCCACATGCCGCGGAGCGGCTGTGCCCGTGAGCCATGGCCGCCGAGCCTGCGCGTCCGGAGCCTGTTGCTCCGCAACGGGAGAGGCCACAACAGTGAGAGGCCCACGTACCGCAAAAAAAAAAAAAAAAAAAAAAAAGAAAAAGAAAAATACCATATGATAACACTTATAAGTGGAATCTAAAACATGACACAAAAGAACATACCTACAAAACAGAAACAGACTCACAGACATAGAGAACAGACTTGTGGTGCCCAAGTGTGGGGGGCAGGGAAAGACTGAGAGTTTGCGATTAGTAGACGCAAACTATTATATATAGGATGGACAAAAAACAAGGTCCTACTGAATAGCAGAGGGAACTATATTCAGCCCTGTGATAAACCATAATGGAAAAGAATATGTATATGAATAACTGAATCACTTTGCTGTACAGCAGAAATAAACACAACACTGTAAATCAACTATACTTCAATAAAATTAAAAAAAAAAACAGCGTTGGAGTGGATACCCTGAAGACAAGCAGCTCAAGAATGCTCTGTCTTATTAACTCTTTGATGCTGACCTTCCTCTTCATTGTCAGCACTGAACAGGATCAAAGGGCAGCTGGCTTCTTTCTCAACCTCTCCAGCAGGAAGCAGGATGGCATGCTTATACGAGCCAGACCTGGGGCTGAATCCTGGGTTTGCCAGTTATTAGCCGTGTGACCTTGGACAAGGTACTTGCTCTCTGAGCCTTAATTTCTTTACCTGAAAAATAGGAATCACATCACCTTTCCCCTAGATTTGTAGTGAGGGTTCAATACGGTAACGATATGAAACATGGAGCGTAGCACATAGTGGGTAGAAAAGATGGAGTGAGGTTGGGTCCAAGGTGAACCGAAAGGGGTTGGGGACAGTTGCTGAGAACAATTATGGTTTATGACTGGTTCCTAGGTGCTAGACAGAGTTTCTTAGCAGAGGTTACATGGCTAGGGGAAGAATGACAATGCAGTAAAAATGGTTCATTCGTTTATTCATTTTCCACCAATTACTTTATTGAGAATCTACTAAGTGTCAAATGTGGTTTTAGCCACTGGGGATACAGCCCTCACAGATCTTCTAATCCAGAGTGGGAGAGACCCAACGAGCCTGGTGCTTTCAATACAGGAGCTCCTTCACCTGTGAACAAGTTATGTTCTGAAAAGACTGTAGTTTGCAAGTCCAACGGGACGAAGAGGAATTTGTGGTCATGTAGTCGCTGGAGGCATTTCCACCAAAAAGAAATGTGAACTGGTTCTACTCTCCAAAGCTTTAAAACCATCCTTCTTTTTTTTTTGGCCGTGCCACGCTTCTTGCGGGATCTTAGTTCCCTGACCAGGGATTGAACCCCGGCCCACAGCAGTGAAAGCACCGAGTCCTAACCACTGGACCACCAGGGAATTCCCTAAAACCATCCTCCTTGATGATATTTGTTTTATAGGACATCTTTCCCCAAAGGAGATAGTGTTGTTTGCAGTGGAAATCTGTTGAGCAGTGAGTGACGTGAAGTCATACATTAGTGACTCTACCTAATTTCTGGAATAACGTTGCATTTCTGCAGGAAGAGATAAAAAAGATGGGTGAAGTATAAACCTTAATGTTACAAGTGATTATCTCTTAAAAGTGAAGCAATTAAATCCTTTTCTTTTGACCTTATCTCTATTTCACAATTTACTTTCCTGAAATGAACATGTATTGCTTTCGTAATTTAGACCAATTTATTGAATCACAAGCCACGGATGACTCTAGTGGTCCAAAGGCTGTTCTGATCTGAACCACATTGGGGAAGAGGTGAGGGTGAGAGTCTTGAGACAGAAGGGCCAGCACAGGCCATCCTTGAGGAGCTGCGAGGAAAAGTCAGAAGGGCAGAGAGGATTGGAGTGAACAGAAACCTTGGGGCAGATAAAACCATGGAGTGGAGGATGGAGAGAGCTGCTGTCAGGGCGGGTCTGGATTTTGTGGGGTCTTCTTTTAGTTTTTGATTGCTACAATAATGCTGCAATGGACTGTCCCAAACTCAGTGGCATGCAATAAGTTTGTGAATTGGCAGTTTAATCTGGGTGGTCCTTCTGGCCTCAGGTGGGCTCCCTTGCGCGTCTGGGGGTCAGCTGGCTGTTGGCTAGGGCCGCCTCGCTCCGTTCCACCTGTCTCTCAATCCAGCCACTGGTTAGCCTGGCGTGTTCTCGTGGCAGAAGCAGAAGAGCATGAGAATAGGAGAAAGTGCAGGAGGCCTCCGCAGGCTGGGGTTTGGAAATGGTGCAGCATCACTTCTTTCTTTCTTTCTTTCTTCCTTTCTTCCTTTCTTCCTTCCTCCCTCCCTCCCTCCCTCCCTCCCTCCCTCCCTCCCTCCCTCTCTCTCTCTCTTTCTTTCTTTCTTTCTTTCTTTCTTTCTTTCTTTCTTTCTTTCTTTCTTTCTTTCTTTCTTTCTTTCTTTCCTTCTTTTTATTTTTGGCTGCATTGGGTCTTCATTGCTGCACACGGGCTTTCTCTAGTTGCAGCCAGCGGGGGCTACTCTTCATTGTGCTGTGCGGGCTTCTCATCGCAGTGGCTTCTCTTGTTGCAGAGCACGGGCTCTAGGTGCGTGGGCTTCAGTAGTTGTGGCTCGTGGGCTCTGGAGTGTGGCTCAGTAGTTGCGGCACACGGGCTTAGTTGCTCTGCGGCATGTGGGATCTTCACGGACCAGGGATCGAACCCGTGTCCCCTGCATTGGCAGGTGGATTCTTAACACTGCACCACCAGGGGAGTCCCAGCATCACTTTCGCTGCGTTTTCTTGGGCAAAGTAGATCCTAAGTCTGGTCCAGACTCGAGTGGAGGGGGGAGAGACTCTGCCTCTTTGTGAGAAGGGCTAGGGAGTCAAAGGGTAGGTATCCAGGGTGGGACCATCTATCACAGGCCTGAAGCTTATACAATGTTGGGGGCCCTTTTGAAGAAAAAAAGGATCCCCAAATTATGAACACAAAATTTGATATAGGGGTCTGGTCAAGTGAGGGGTGCTGACACCATCGATTCGTGGCAAATGGACCTCTTCCTCACTGTCACAAAGAAGCGAGAATCTAGCCACCCCAGTGAGAAGAGCTGAGAAGGGGAGCACAGCAGAGCCACTGCCGTACTGGTGGCAGAGCCCAGAGTGAGGCTCTTTCAACCCGGGGGTGCCTGGATTCTGGACACCCATCTGCTCTGGTCCCGGTGAAGTCTGGCTGTTTCTTGTTTTTCCTCCATGGAGAGGCTTAGTTCCTTGGTTTTCTTCAGTTCCACCTGGTTTAGACTTTGGTTTTGTAATTCTCCAGTGGGTCTTGGAACAGACATCTCGTGGGCCTTCTATTCCAGAGTGGGAGAGACTCAACAAAACCGGCCCTTTCGATACAGGAGCTCCTCCCCCTGAGAACAGATTGGGTTCGGAAATGATTGTAGTTTGTAAGTCCAGTATGACCTAGAGAAGTAGCTTGAGCAAGCTACCTGCTCCTTGTCACCAGGAGAACCTGATGCTTGCATCAACACACACACAAAACACACACACTACATATGTGCACACACAGCACTAGCACGCACAATGCATTACACACTTGTAACACAGCTCCCACACATGGGCCCACATACAAACAGGAACACACCACATGTGTTCATACATGCACGCGCATGTGTGCACACATACACATATTCACGCACACACCCACAGGTGCCTCGGGGCAGGGGAATCTCAGACGACCCATCCAATTCCTTCCTTCGCAGATGGGGACATTGGAGGCCACTGAAGGTTACTGCTCATGTAGACGTCAATGGCCAAGCCGGGATGAGGGCCTCAAATGGGTCTTTGAGGACACAGGGCCCCCAGAAAAGCCTGACGCTCCCCTAGTGCCCAGAGGCATTTGTTTAGAGGAACAGACTTGCTATCACTTAGAGATGCTCAGAGAATTCTCTTTTATTTATTTATTTTTTTTGGTACACAGGCGTCTCACCGCTGTGGCCTCTCCCGTTGCGGAGCACAGGCTCCGGACGCGCAGGCTCAGCGGCCATGGCTCACGGGCCCAGCCGCTCCGCGGCATGTGGGATCTTCCTGGACCAGGGCACGAACCCGTGTCCTCTGAATCGGCGGGCGGACTCAACCACTGTGCCACCAGGGAAGCCCAAGAATTCTCTTTTCTTGATTCAAAGGAGAATTTCTCTTCTTGATCCAGAAGGGCCCAGGAGCAGAGGGTCAGGCCACAGGCAGAGTTTTGGGGTAGTTCAGAGGCTGTTTACTCCTACTGCCTGCTCTCAAGAAAGGAAAGATTACCCCACATCCCTCAAAGCATCTGTCCCTTATTTTTCAGGGTGCTCCAAATTGCTTAATTCCTTGGTCATTTCCCCTGCAAGCCAAATGGTGTTCCTGTTTGCTGGGGCCCAATGTCTCTTGGCATAGCTGTTCAGTGCCACAGGCCAAGGATGGCTTTGCTGAGCAGCGGGGACCAAGGGCTGACCGAGCTCTCACCCTGTATTGTTGACCTTATTTTACGGTCTGGAGGTATGTAAAGTGAGAGGCCAGTTCTGGCCACATTCTGGCTTATTAGCTGCTGTGTTTTTCAGTGCAGATAACCCTCCTGATGCCTACTCACTCCTGATGAGCCTGTGAGGGCTTATATCTCTCCTTGGGATTCACTCGCTCCTCAAGATGTCACAAGGTATGTGTGACACACAGCAAAAGTGGCTCTAGGAACAAAATATGAGAAACGTCCAATCCTTTCCTAATTTCTGTGCTTAACCCCAGGTCCTGCTGGGATTCTGATGGGGGAGAGGGGTGGGAGATGGGCACAAAATTGTCAAAAAAGAAAGGGAGTCAGACAGGCGAAGCTGGTGCATCCTTTCTTCCCACTGCAACAGATAGCTATCACAAGGTGTGTGTCAGGGGCTGAGAGGAGCTAGCGGGTACTAGCCATGAACAATGAGCTGGTTTCTTCAGGAAGGTATAACTGACAAGTTTCTGGAGGATTCAGGCTGGAATCGATATCCATGGATTCTCACGCTGTAAACTGGGGCACAGCAACAAGAGTTCCTGGTATGTTCTCAGGACAGAGGCCCCTCTTGCCCATTGGACCAGTAGTTCCCTGCTCACTTGTCCCTACTCTGTTTTTTAGTTCTCTGACCAGGGATCGAACCCGTGCCCACTGCAGTGGAAGAAGTGCAGAGCCGTAACCACTGGACCCCCAGGGAATACCCATGTCCCTACTCTTTGAGCCCCTTTCTTTTAGTAGGTAGTCTGGGTTTTGTTACCCTCTCACCCCCTCATTCCAATCTCTGGTCTAGATTGGAATCTACAATCTCTTCTCTGACTTTGGCTCAAGCCCCCCGTGATACAGTGGAACTCCTGACCTTCCAGGCTCCCGAGAATTTGGCTACACTTGAAATTCCACATTTGGGACCTTGTGTGCATCAGCCTTAGCTCCCCACGACTTCTCCAGTGGGGCTGGTTTTCCCCCATCCCGGTCTTCCCACCAACGGAGAAGGACTGAGTAAGAGCTGCTCAGAACTGGTGGGTCTGCAAACTTCAAGGCCAAGAAGGAGCAAAGTTCTCCTTTTAGAGAACCCATCATGGCTCCGGACAGGGAGGTATTTCTCAAAAGCTTATTTATGATCACTTCTTGAATTGCCAACTGCCTTGAAATTTCACCTATTCCACCTCCTTCCTCTTTGAGTCTCGTTCGCCAGTGGGAAGGGCCTGAAAGAGGAAGTACAAGAGTGAGAATAAGTGAGCGCAGAAGGGCTGGAAGATGAAGCAGACTGCAGTTGGTTCTCGCTGACACACGCCACCAAGGAGGACCCGTGTGAGGAGAAAATGCACCTGCTGCTGCTGTTCTATCTCCTCCGCCGGCTCGCAGGTGAGCTGGGCCTGGGTCTGTTCTCTCGGGAAAAGCCTATGGGGCAGGAGGAAGTGGCTGGCAGAGGGAGGAGGGAGCCCAGCAAGGTGTCCTGCTGAGAAATGAACCCGCTTTCTAAGTAGTTCCTCCCCGTCGTGAGCCTGTGTGTTTCATCCACTCAATCCCTCACCCTTGTGTTGTGGTGCCCACAACGGCCGATGCAGAAATATGGAGCATGGTCTTCATGATGAACCTAGAACCAGGCATAACTCCTGACCACCCAGGGGCTGGTCATTCAAAATGGACAGACGGATGGCTCCCACTGGTCACAGAAAAGCAGAGGCACCCTGGTTGCTCAGGAGAACTGGCGAATATTTGCTCCTGCACTGTCACCTTCCAGAAAGCTTTATGAGCAAGGGAGGGCTCTGGAGAAGGGGTGAGGGTGAAGGGGGCCTGGAAGGAAGGGAAGCGGGAGTTTGCCAGATGGAGAGGGAGAGGCAGTTCTAGGCTTTCGGGGAAGGAAATAGTAGAATGGAAAGGTCGAGAGGAGGTTAGCTTGGTAGAATGAAGAGGAAAAGGGGACAGGGACGTGAGCAGAGACACAGGGTTGAAGCCAACTTGAGGTTGATGGATACCATTTTTTTTTTGGCCACGCCGTGTGGCATGTGGGATCTTAGTTCCCCGACCAGGGATCGAACCCACACCCCCTGCATTGGAAGCTTGGAGTCTTAACCACTGGACCGACAGGGAAGTCCCATGGATACCATTTTGATTAAAAGTCAAGGGGGGGCTTCCCTGGTGGCGCAGTGGTTGAGAGTCCACCTGCCGCTGCAGGGGATGCGGGTTCGTGCTCCGGTCCGGGAAGATCCCACATGCCGCGGAGCGGCTGGGCCCGTGAGCCATGCCGCTGAGCCTGCGCGTCCGGAGCCTGTGCTCCGCAACGGGAGAGGCCGCAACAGTGAGAGGCCCGCGTACCGCAAAAAAAAAAAAAAAAAAAAAAAAAGAACACAAAAAACTGGTATGCAAATGTTCAGGGCAACATAGTCCATAATAGCTAAAAAGTGGAAACAATCTAAATGCACATCAACTGATGGATGGATAAATAAAACGTGGTATACTCTTACCATGGTATACTACTCGTCATGAAAAGGAATGAGGTACTGACACTTGCTACAACCTGGATTAAGCTCAGTGAAAGAATCCAGACACAAAAGGCTGTACTTTGTATGATTCCGCTCATATGAAAAGTCTAGAATATGTAAATTCATAGAGACCGAAAGTAGATCAGTGGTTGCCAGGGACTGGGGGAGGGAGTAAGGGGAAGGGACGCCTAGTGAGTACGGGGTTTCTCTTTTGAGGTGATGACAGTGTTCTGGAATTAGTGATGATGTTTGCACAGCTTTGTGAATATCTTACAAAACCACTTTAAAAGGGTGAATTACATGGTATGTGAATTATATCTCCATGAGAAGATAATAAGGAGCAGAGAGAAGAATTAGGAGCAGTCGTGCTCTCCTGAGAAAAGTTTCTGTGGTTGCGTTTGGACCTGAGTCTCCAGAGGGCATGACAACCGGACATCCCTTTGTGACCCGTGACTCTTTTACGTGGTCTGATTGGATCATTCATTCCATCAGGCATAGAAATGAAAATGATGCTTCCAAGCAGTGACACGTGCTGTGAACAGAGCTGAGCCAGATGCCCTGACTCAGGGGGTGGTGGCTGTGCTTTCGATAGGGTGGGCTTAGAAGGAGCCCTCTGAGGAGGCGCTTTCTGAGCTGAGACCTGGGAGATGAGAAGGAACGGGCACTTCAGATCAGGGACGCCTTTTCAGGCACCGGGCACAGCAAGGCTCTGATGTGGAAATGAGCTTGGCCGTGGTACGTTTGAGGAACAGAAAGGCCTTGTGGCTTCCTTACACACTTCACAACAGCCTGCTGGGGCCGATTGGGAGGATACTATTATCTCTTTGGGGAAAAGGTCTCTGGGGAGGAGAGAGATGTGTGTCTCTCCTCCTGCCGGTGGCTGCGGGTGGCTTGTGGATGCTCAGCCTTGAGTTTCGGTGTAGAAACAGAGAAGATAGGGGACAAATTGACAAGCAAAGCAGGGAATGCACGTAAAGGATTGCTTTTTTTCCCTGACGTCTGGGAACAGGGGAACTTGATGGTGAGCAGATGTGAGAGTTGTGTGTGTGTGTGTGTGTGCGCGCACACGCGTGTGTATGTGGTTTAGGAGTGATTGAGGCAGAGCGGGAATATCTGTCTGAAGTGGGACAGGCTCAGCTGTGCACTAACAGGAAGCCAGTCTCAAGTGGGAACCTCGGTGCCACCTGTCACCAGCCTTTCCCATAGAACTTCCGATTGCAAGTAACACATTTAACCAGCACTACTTCCCTCTTCGCAAGGGTTCATTGTTTTAAAAGTACACAAGAAAATACCCCAGAAAGTTCCCACCGGGCTTTATAGCATTCATTTTCTATGAGAAAAGAGTCTTAATGATGCTATTTTTTTCAGAGAAAAATTAGCTGTCTTGTCCAACTTAAGCCTCACCGTAAGTGGTGGCAGAGGTGGACAAGACCCCAGACGTGCTGACCCAGAGTGGAAATTAGCTGATTGTCCCCCGCTGAGCCGGAGATGGGGTCCAGTCTCAACTGTCACTCACTGACCGTGAGCCACTCACCTCCCCCTGGGGCTCAGCTTCCACCTGATCTAGGATTATTCCTGATCATCTAGGCTGTGAGTAACCATGCCCAGGGAGGATGCTGCTTCTTGGAGCTCCAGGCTGCCTCTGTGCCAGGAGGGTTCCCACAGCACAGGTTGATGGGGAGTGGGGACCTGGAAGAGGGGTCCGAGAAGTGAGTGGAGCAGATGGTCCAAGGGTCAGAGCTGATACTAAATGCTCAGTCGAGTTCAAGGGTCAGATCTGTTACTAAATGACAACTAAAGATGGAATGGCCATCCGCGTTAGAATCCTAGGGTTGCTGGGACAAATCACCACAAACTTAGTGGCTTAGAACAGCACAAATTTATAATGTTACAGTCTAGAGATAAGAGGTCTAAAACGAGTCAACAGGGCAGCGTTCCTTCTGGTGGCTCTAGGAGGAAAATTTGATTCCTCGACTTCCAGAGGCTTTCCAGAGGCTGCCTGCCACACCCTGTGGCGTGCGGAACTTCCCCGACCGCCAGGGGTCAAACCTGCGGCCCCTGAAGTGGAAGTGCGGAGTCTTAACCACTGGACCGCCAGGGAAGTCCAGAGGCTGCCTGCTTTCCTTGGCGTGTGGTCCCACATCACTTCAGCCCCCGCTCCATTGTCATCACTCCTTCCCTGACTCAGACCCTCCCGCCTCCCTCGGTTAAGGACCTTTCTGATTATATTGGGCCACCGGGATAATCCAGGATAATCTCTCCATCTCAAGATCCCTAATTTAATGACATCTGCAAAGTCCCTTTTTGCCATGTAAGGGTGAACGTATTCACAGATTCTGGGGGTTAGGACACAGACATCCTTGGGGGCCATTGCTCTGCCTACCACACTATTAAACAGCCCTGTCCAGGCATTTGTTTTTCCTATGATTTTGAAAGTAGTAAATGCTCATTGTTGACACTTGGGAAAGTACAGGAAAAAAATGAAGAATTAGGAAAAATAAAAAAACCTTATGTCTGGGGCTTCCCTGGTGGCGCAGTGGTTGAGAATCTGCCTGCCAATGAAGGGGACATGGGTTCGAGCCCTGGTCTGGGAAGATCCCACATGCCGCGGAGCAGCTAGGCCCGTGAGCCACAACTACTGAGCCTGCGCGTCTGGAGCCTGTGCTCCACAAGAGAGGCCGCGACAGTGAGAGGCCCGCGCACCGCGATGAAGAGTGGCCCCCACTCGCTGCAACTAGAGAAAGCCCTCGCACAGAAACGAAGACCCAACACAGCCAAAAATAAATAAATAAAAATCAAAACAAAAACAAAAAAAACCCTCATGTCTGTCTTAATGCCCGAGGTGACCAGTTGTTAAGATTTTGGTTTATTTATGTTTAAGCTTTGTTTTCTATGCATATTTTAAAAGTTCATTGGTGTTATACTGCATACGGTTTTTTAACACCCTTATTTTCACTTCATATGAGAATTTTCCACATAATTAAAAATATTTCTAAGCATAAGTAGCAGTGTTTGCATTATATTTCATTATATACTTATTTCCCTAATTGGTGGAAGTTAACTTTGTTTCCTTTATTTTTGCTAATTATGTGATGAATCTTTGTGCACACCCTTTTTGTTAGCCTCTTTGATTATTTCCCGAGAACCAAATCCTAGATGTAGCATTACTGGAGCAAAGGGCATGACTGTGTTTGATACATATGACTGCCATATGGCTTTCTGTATGGCTGAACCAGCTACATTCCTTCCAGCATATTCTCACAGTGCCTGGACCACCTGGCCCCCGTCAGCAAAAAAGTGAGTCATCAAAACTTGATTGGTTTGTTATGTGAAAAAAGGTGTTGTCTTCCACATTTCTTATTTGCTAGATTATTTAAATGAAACATTTGAGTTTTATTAGCCGCTGAATTTCCTCTTTGTGACTTGCCTCTTACCTCCCATCAGTTTTCCAAATGGGGTATTAATGTTTTTCTTCTATACACTCTTAATCGAGAGAAACTCTATTAATCCTTTTCTATGTTGTTTGTTCTAAATATTTCTCTCAGTCTGTTCTTTGCCTTTTCAGTCTTTTTTTATTGGTATGTCCAAGTGCTATATTTGCATGCAGTCAAATTCACTACTAACTCTTTCTTGTTTCCTGTCGTCCATTGATTTCAAGTTTCAAAAGATCTCCCTGTCATCCAGGAATTTTATAGAGATTCACTTCTGTTTTCTTTCAGTTTAAAAAATGCTTTGCTATTTTATGCTGACCTCCTTAATCTCTCTATATTTACCTAAATGGAGCACACTGAGAGGTGACAGGATAGGGTTATGCCTTAACCATTCCCTTCTCTGTTTATCGTTTTAGTCTTTTATGGTATATGTGAAATTCTTAAATAG